TGGAAAGAAGGGACCATCAAAGAAGGATATACTTTTCTCTGAAGAGAGGAGAGGACTTCCACTTGCTTATGGCCTTGTCTAAAAACTGACAGAGACTGTGGATTCAAAAGGTTTTCATAGCCTTGGCAGCTCATGTCAAGAGCCTCGGGTGATCACTGACAGCAAACATAAGAGTGTTAATTGTTAAATTAACGACAGCAGTCACTATGCACTTACTTCCCATGCAGGACCTCTGTCCTTAATGAGTTAGTTGTATTATGAGAATTAACTGTAAAGCTTGTTCTCAAACTGTGTGTGTGTCTGTGCGAACTGTTGAAATCTTTACTTAGTGTAGAGTTGGTCTTCTGTGTATAAAGTTAATTTAAAATGAATCTTCATGGAGAATGGGACAGGGAATGGGAGAGAGGAGGAGGTGGGGTGGGAGTAGGGGCGGGTATGAGTGGAAGAATCACTATATTAATAAAAACTATGGGAACTATTTTTTTTTTTTTTTGACAGAATGGACAGTGAGAGAGAGAGACAGAGAGAAAGGTCTTCCTTTTGCTGTTGGTTCACCCTCCAATGAGGCCGCGGCGCCGGCAAAAGTTATGGGCTGCGTTGGCCGGGAATCGAACCCGGGTCAACTGCTTGGAAGGCAGCTATGCTCACCACTATACCACCAACACTAACTGGGAACTATTTAAAAAAAAAAAAAAATTGGGACGCTTGCAACCCATACAGGAGTGCCTGGGTTCAAGTAACAGCTCTGCTACTGATTCTAGCTCTCTGGTAATATACACCATGAGAGGCAACAGTTCCTGACAACGATGTGGGAAACCCAGTTTGACTTCTGGGCTCTTGGCTTAGACAGGCCCAGCTTTGGCTGTAGTGGGCACCTGGTGGAGCGGAATAAACTAATAAATGAAAGATTTCCCTTTGAGGGTCATCACTGTGGCATAGCAGGTAAAGTTACTACCTATGAAGCTTGCATCCCATATGGGCACCTGTTCATGTCCTGGCTGCTCCATTTTTTTTTTCTTTTTAAGATTTTACTTATTTATTTGAGAGGTAGAGGTACAGACAGTGAGAAGAAGAGACAGAAAGGTCTTCCATCCACTGGTTCACTACCCAAACGGCCGCAACGGTCAGAGCTGCACCAATCCGAAGCCAGGATCCAGAAGCTTCTTCTGGGTCTCCCATGTGGGTTCAGGGGCCCAAGCACTCGGGCCATCTTCTACTGCTTTTCCAGGCCACAGCAGAGAGCTGGATCAAAAGAGGAGCTTCCAGAACTAGAACTGGTACCTATATGGGATGCTGGTGCCACAGGCGGAGGATTAACCTACCGGCACTGGCCCCTGCTCCACTTCTGATCCACTCCCTGCTAATAGCCTGGTAAAAGCACAAGAAGATGGCCCAGTGCTTTGGCCCCTGCTACCCCTGTGGAAGACCCAGATGAAGTTCCTGGCTTTGGTCTGGCTTAGCCCTAGGCGTTTTGATCAATTAGGGAATGAACCCGTGGATGGAAGATCTCTCTTTGTTGTCTCTCTCTGTAACCCTAACTTTCAAATAAATAAATTTTTTTAAAAAAGTTATGTGTTTGTATGTATCTTTTCTGTGTCTCACTGCCTACCAAATACATTTTTTTAAATAATTCAGAATTGCCGGTGCCGCGGCTCACTAGGCTAATCCTCCGCCTAGCGGCGCTGGCACACCGGGTTCTAGTCCCAGTCGGGGCGCCGGATTCTGTCCCGGTTGCCCCTCTTCCAGGCCAGCTCTCTGCTGTGGCCAGGGAGTGCAGTGGAGGATGGCCCAAGTGCTTGGGCCCTGCACCCACATGGGAGACCAGGAGGAAGCACCTAGCTCCTGGCTTCGGATCAGCGTGGTGCGCTGGCCGCAGCGCGCCAGCCGCGGCAGCCATTGGAGGGTGAACCAACAGCAAAGGAAGACCTTTCTCTCTGTCTCTCTCCCTCAATGTCCACTCTGCCTGTCAAAAAATAAATAAATAAATAAATAAATAAATAATTCAGAATTGTAGACACAAAATAATTGCCTCTAAGTAAAATATACAAAGAAACAGACTCAACTATAGAAAACTATAGAATATGATGATAACTTTGTATTCTTTCCTTTTTAATAATAATTTTACATTTATGGGGCTGGTATTGTGCCATAGTGAGTAAAGCCAATGCCTGCAACACTATCATTGCATATGGGCATCTATTCATGTCCTAGTTGCTCTGTTTCTGATCCAGCTCTCTGCTAATGTGCCTAGGAAAGCAGCAGAGGATGGGCCACCTGCTTGGGCCCTTGCACCCATGTGGAAGACTATGAAGAAGCTCCTGGCTCCTTGCTTTGACCTGGCCCATCTCCGCTCATTGGGATAATTTGAAGAGTGAATCAGAGATGGAAGATCCCTCTCTCTTTCTCTGTGTCTTTTTCGGTGTGTCACTCTGCCTTTCAAATACAAACAAAATAAATCCTTTTTAAAAATTTACACTTATGGGGCCGGCGCCGTGGTTCACTTGGCTAATCCTCAGCCTGCAGCACCAGAATCCCATGTGGGCGCTGGGTTCTAGTCCCGGTTGCTCCTCTTCCAGTCCAGCTCTCTGCTGTGGCCTGGGAAGGCAGTGGAGGATGGCCCAAGTGCTTGGGCACCTGCACCCACATGGGAGACCAGGAAGAAGCACCTGGCTCCTGGTTTCGGATCGGCGTAGCTCCAGCCGTGGCGGCCATTTTGGGGGGTGAACGAACGGAAGGAAGACCTTTCTCTCTGTCTCTCTCTCTCACTGTCTGTAACTCTACCTCTCAAATAAATAAATAAAAAAATACACTTAGAATGTTATATTACAGAACCATTCTCTTTTTCTACTTGGCTGTCATTACTGTATTGAAGTCATTGTTACTATGAAGCCTTCAATTCTGACAACAATAAAACCCCACAGATAGAAATATAAACTTTTTTCTAGGCATGTATATAATTATATATACTTCATTTTATAAAACTAACGTTGTGGCACAATCGGTTAAAGCCCTGGCCTGAGGGGTCAGCATCCCATATGGGCTCTAGTTTTAGTCCCAGCTGCTCTTCTTCTAATCCAGCTCTCTGCCATGGCCTAGGAAAGTGGTGGAAGATGGCCCAAGTCCTTGGACCCCTGCACCCACGTGGGAAACCAGGAAGAAGCTCCTGGCTCCTGGCTTCAGATCGGCACAGCTCCGGCCATGGCAGCTATCCGGGGAGTGAACCAGCAGATGGATGTCCTCTCTCTGTGTGTCTCTGCCTCTCTCTGTAACTCTGTCTTTCAAATAAGTAAAAATAAATCTAAAAAAAAAAAAAAAAAAAAGATTGAGGCTGGCATTGTGCACAGTGAGTTAAGCCACCATCTGCATTGAGCACAAGTTCATGTTCTGGATGTTCCACTTCCAATCCAGCTCTCTGCTAACAGCCTGGGAAAAGCAGCAGATTGACCCAGCTCTGGCCATTGTGGCCATCTGGGGAGTAAACCAGCAGACAGAAGATCTCTCTCTCTCTTTCTGTAATTCTGCCTTTCAAATGAATAAATCTTTAAAAATAAAATAAAATAAAATTTAAAAAACACTAAGATCATTCATATCGTACATAGATACACATGGGGACAGGCATTTGGCCCAGTGGTTAAATGACCAGTTGGGGTGTCCACACCTATATCAAAGTGCTTGGGTTCAAGCCCTGACTCTGCTCCAGTTCTAGTCTCCTGCTAATGTGCACCCCAGGGGGCAGTAGGAGATGGTGCAAGTAGTTGGATCCCTGCTATCCATGGACTGGGTCCATGCTTTAGCCCATCCCAGGCTATTCTCTATAGAATGGTTCTATAATCTCATATTATAAATGTAAATTTTTAAAATTTACATTTGAGGTGTAAACCAACAGATGGGAACTCTGTCTCTATATCTCTGCTTCTCAAAAAAAAAAAAAAACAATTTTTAAAAAAATTTTAAAGAATTTACAAAAGGGAGTGAATAAAATGGATTACCCAGTTTCTCTTTATCCATAGTGCAGGAAAAATATGAGCTGTTGCCCATTCTGTAGAATTCTCAGAAGTAGGAAGGAAAAAAATCATGTGTCCAAATATCTACTTATAAACCTGCTTATTCCTGAAAACTTTCAGATCTTCAATATTTAATTACTGTTAATTAATCTTCAATATTTAATTACTGCTTAACATAATGTGGATCAGAAGTGGAGCAGCCAGAGTCCAACCAGAGCTCTGATATGGGATGCCAGCATTGCAAGTGGCAGCTTAATCCACTGTATCAGAACACCAGTCCCTGCCTGTCATTTTAAATACATACTTTTCTTAAAGTTTATTTTCCTTTTTATTATTTGAGACACAGACCAAGACAGAGAAAGGTCTTTTCCACCAGTTCACATCTCAAATGCCCACAATGGCAAGAGGGCCAAAGCTAAGGCCAGGAACTCAATCCAGTTCTCCTAACTACTTTAGCCATCATGAGCACCTCCAGGATCCATATTAGCAGGAAACTGGAACCAGGAGCTAGAACGAGGTATAAACCCCATGTACTCCAAAATTGGGCTGTAGGAACCCCAAGTGGCATCTTAACTGCTAGGATAAATGATCACCTCTAAATACATATTTATGGGGCCGGCGCTGTGGCGCAGCAGGTTAAAGCCCTGGCCTGAAGCGTCAGCATCCCACATGGGTGCCGGTTCGAGACCCGGCTACTCCACTTCCAATCCAGCTCTCTGCTATGGTCTGGGAGAGCAGTAGAAGATGGCCCAAATCTTTGGGCCCCTGCACCCCCATGGGAGACACAGAAGAAGCTCCTGGCTTCAGACTGGTGCAGCTCCAGCTGTTGCGGCCAATTGGGGAGTGAATCAGTAGATGGGAGACCTCTCTCTCTCTCTCTCTCTCTCTCTCTCTGCTTCTCCTTCTCTCTCTGTGTAACTATGACTTTCAAATAAATTAATTAATTAAAAAATACATACTTACAGGTATATTAGAGATGTAAGTATTTTTTCTTACCATTACTGCTGTTAACGTCCTTCTGCACCTCAGTTTCTGTACCTGTAAGATGGAGAAACAAGATTAGATGAATTCTAAAGCCTTCTTAGACTCTGTAATTCTACATATAACTAAATAATATCAGCAATCATGTCTGTAATTATGCCAAGTCCTTGTTCACTTATTAGAGTTGGAAAAGTAGGAAAAAGCAAGAGCATTCTCTTCTACATACATGCAACTCTTTCCCCACTTAATGTCAGTTGAGTCCTGAGAATGACTGGCTTCTGAAGACTGGCTTTGTAAGTTTCATAATATATTCCTTGTTGAGTCTAGTTTCTCTGGTTATTGCTAGTCAAGAGGTGTTAAGTTGTAAACTATGAGGATTAGTCCCTGGGGTAAAAATAAATTATTCTTTTCTTTTTTCTTTACATATAAATTGTGAGTGGATTTGCAGTATATAAAATATCCAAATGAAAACTGGGAGGTGGAAAATCATACTGCCAACCATATGGATACCAGCTTTCACAGAAACAAAACATCTGGACTTTATGTTGAATATTTCCATTTCCATTTCTGTCCACATGTTAGGCATGCCAGACACAACCCATGAATACAAGGGTGTCTTTCTTCTCTCTTAATTCCAGTAACTGGTGTTGGATATGAAAAAAAAAAAATGACTTTCACATAATTAATTAGACTTCTCTTTGACTTTGTTGTTAAATTTAACTTCTCTCTTTAGGTTTGTTTTCATTCAGGTATTTGTTATTTGCTTATCTACCCAAGAAGACATAACATATTTTGCATATATGTCTATAATTTTTCCAGCTAATTTTTTAATCAGTGAGCAACTACCCATTCTAGTAGCACTGATTCAAAAAAACTGGTAGATTGGGGCTAGAGTGCAGCAACCTATGACATCATCCTATATGAGCTTCAGTTCAATTCCCAGCTGATTCACTTCTGATTCAGCTCCCTGCTATGTGCCTGGGAGAACAGCCCAACTGCTTCCATTCTGAGGAGACCCAGACCCAAATGGAGCTCCATGTTTCTGGCTTTGGCTTGGCCCAGTCCTAGCCATTGCAGCCATTTGGGAAGTACACCACTAGATGAATGATCTCTCTCTTTCTCTCTCTCTCTGTAACTGCTTTTAAAATAAATAAGTCAATCTTTAAAAAAAAAAAAAAAAAAAAAGTAGCCTAGGGCCGGCGCTGCGGCTCACCAGGCTAATCCTCCGCCTTGCGGCGCCGGCACACTGAGTTCTAGTCCGGGTCGGGGCGCCGGATTCTGTCCCGGTTGCCCCTCTTCCAGGCCAGTTCTCTGCTGTGGTCAGGGAGTGCAGTGGAGGATGGCCCAAGTACTTGGACCCTGCACCCCATGGGAGACCAGGATAAGTACCTGGCTCCTGCCATCGGATCAGCGCGGTGCGTAGGCCGCGGCGGCCATTGGAGGGTGAACCAACGGCAAAGGAAGACCTTTCTCTCTGTCTCTCTCTCTCTCACTGTCCACTCTGCCTGTCAAAAAAAAAAAAAAAAGAGTGTGGGCTCTGGATTCAGTGGATGAGTTAATTACACAACATCTTGACCCCTTTTCCTTATCAGTAAAATAATAATAATATCTCCTTCTTGGGGCCGAGTATGAATTACATGAGCTAATACATGTAAAATATTCAGCACAGGGCTATCTGAAAACATAGGAAGTTTAAGTCACCTACCCCAGCTCAGACTGTGAATGAGAAAAGACAATGTGGGTGCCCTGAATTCCAGGTCGGGGCACTCTCTACTACTGGAAGTCAAGGTCCCTGCCCTCAAGAAGCTTCAGATCATGTGAGGAGTCAAGACTAACACAGATTATTAGTTTAGTTTGCCAGCCCCAGTCCAGTGCCCTGTAACAAAGCTTCCTGGTGAAAGCCGGAGTTGTGAAGAGGACCGCGGTAGAAAGAGGGACAGAGTACAGGAAACTTTCCAGAAGAAAAAAGGTGAGGACTGCCGCAAAGCTTGAAGGCAGTTTGACTCAGTGAGTGAAGGAGAAGTAACACAAGGACGCTTCCTCGAAGCAGCCGACGGAAACGTCACCCATCGCACCTGCAAGGCGCACCCCTGCTGCTGAAAACGACTGAGCGGAACCAGGAGGGGAACGAGTATGTGACTAAACGAAGCCCGTTCTGACATCTGGGGAGGATCTTAAAAAGATGGCCCAGGGGGCGAGGTTCCCGACCTGGGTCTCTTCCCTTGGAAGCCACGTCCGTCCTTCTTCCTCTCGGGCTCGGGCTTGGAGAATGGAGGCCCTCACAGGAGTCAGGCAGTAGCCCCACGCTGTTGGGCCCCTCCTGCAGCGCACCTGGAAGCCGGGCGAGGCTGGCTGAAAGAATGAGGAAACTCGGGGCCTCCTCGCCCTCGGCGACAAAGCGCTGCCCTTCGCAGCCTCGGTGACGCACCCCTCTCCGCCACCCCAGGGCGCGAGCGGCCGAACACGCACGCCCCGGCCCGGCCGGCCGGAGCCGCGACGCTCGCACACGCCGGGGAAAGGCCCGGATGCTGCGCCCCTCCAGGGTCCCAGGAGAGGTGACGGAGGGAGCGGCGGCGCGCAGGGAGGAATTCAGAGGGAGCCGACGGGGCGGCCCGGGGAAGGAAAGTCGTCATCTTCTTGGTGTCGGAGCGTGTGGGAGGCCTTGCGCCATCCGCCTCAGGCAGCTGCACCTGGCCGGCCGCCATGAGCCCGGCGCTGAGCCTCTCGCCCGCCCGCCGTGGCGCTGGCAGAGCCGGAGTTCGCGCGGCCGCCGCCTGAGCGACTCCGTGGCGGGAGTCCGGCTTTTCCCGAAGCTGTCCCCTAGCGCGTCCTGAAGGAGGAACCCTATTTGTTCCTCACAGTGAAATTCTCCTTCGTATTTTACCACAGACGCCTTGCTGATGCTTCAGAGAAGAGGAGAGAATGTCCGTACCATTTTCAATCATGGCTTTCTGCACTCTCGTCATGGTTCTGTGGTGATTGTTCTTTTAAAACGAAGCACGTCGTAATTTGTAGAATGTCCATAGCGGCTAAGAAGCATCCTAGTTTGTAAAGAAAAAAGGTGTTCGATATTTTTTTCTTTATTTTCTGTTTCAGGCAGTTGCATAGGTTTCCCAAGCAGTTAACCCCACAAGCCTAAGATGAAAATCCAAAATAATCTGACTTCTATAGAGGAGGCTCATGACTGGACATTTTCTCAACACATTTTTAATAAGAGTAAAATGTATTAGGTTGTTTAAAAAGCAGAGATGTATGTTTTAGTTGTGTCTGGGACGTTGTGAAGGAAATATTCACCTTTTCACTTATTTCTAGTAAACTCAAAATGCAATCTTTCAAGGATATTTTCCAGGTTATAATTAGGGTTTAGTTTTGGGGGAAAAAAAAGAAACCGCAAATGCATTCGCAGGCTGTGCCTGTAGAAGGCAGTTCTTTGCTATTTGGTTTGCAGTTGTGCAAGTGAAGGTCAACTCTATTTGATGACTGGTGTTACTAAAAATAACGCTGCAAAATCTGACAATTCCAGTTCTCTTCAAATACTGACAGCCATTGATGTCCCTTTGGGCAACAGGTTCCCCTGAGACCTGTAGGACCCCATGGGAAAAAGATGTAAGAGAATGTGGCAAGTTGTGTTGCAAGGAAATGCTGTTAGTGGTTTGGGCTTGAGGGGTGTGTGGGGGTGGGGCAGGTGAGTGAGTCGTGGAGGAAAAACACAAGGGTCAGAAGAATGCAAGAGGCGTTTGCTGTGCTACAAACTGGATAGTAAAAAGCAAGCAAACAAAAAAGATGCAGGGTAGGAACCTTCCCTGGAATTCTGCTTGCTTCTGTAAGCCCTGTCCAGCTGATGCTGTGGGCAATTTAATGGAGACTGAACTTGGGTGCAGGAACTCTTTCATTTATTCTAACTTACTCTAGGTTTTAAAACCAAACAAATACATATTTGTGTGTTGACTCTTACCTACCCTCACTGCTTTTATATTTTAAGAATATTTAAAGGTACATAACCCAATGTTTGGTTATTCAAACAAAATAATAGAAACACTCATCTTGGAGATTGTTTCAAAGGGCAAGGAGTCCTGATGACCTCAAAATTTTAAATATTTGACTGAGGGGATGGCCAGTAAAGCAGAAATGGACAAAAGTAGATGATATGCAGCTGGACACAAATCACAAAGACTAAGCTGGAGGAGGGACCAGGGTAAATCTGTATTTTAGAATTAGAAAGTGTGCTGAATTTGGGCTCTAAGCTACCTTGGTTGTCATTCAGGAAGAGCACTGACACTGGGCTCTCAGTCAAATCAGTCCTCCTTTGGAGACCTTTTCCTGATCCATAAAATAAGAGGATGGGTAGTTCTGCTTATCCGGGCACAAGGAATGCTAAGGCAGAACTTCTGTGTGCCCTCACAAATGCAAGCACAAATTAAATTTATCAGCAGCAGAGGGTCACCAAAGTTAGCCATCCAATGAGTAGCTTATCTGATATCCTGATAACAGCATGCTAACTTGTGTTCTTGTGTGTATTGAAAAAGCCACAGCATTGCTGAGAGAAAGAGCGGTATTTTACAGTCTCACCCAGTGTAAAGAAAGATGCTGTCCCTGCACTGATTTCAGACTTTTAAAACCAAAGGGTTGCATATTTCTCAAAATAGTAAATTAGACTCAAAAGCCTAGAGCTTCTAACTTCAAGAATAATTATTCTTAAGAAAGAAAGTCAAACAGCGGTGACCATTTTTCACAGACGTGCTTAGCCATCAGGAAGGCTTAATAAATCCCTATTTAGTATGCATTTATGCAGTGATTACATGAACTTTGACCTCTGAGGAGCTGTAGCAATTAGCTTCAGTGTCCAGCATCCTCTACCCACCATTCCCCATTGGCTCCTTGGGTATTCTTTTTTCATCTCTCAGTAGTTCCTGCACTAGGAGGACATAAAATTTCAAAGTTGACTTTCCTCCTGAAGTATTTGCTTCTGCACAAACCAGTTCCCCTTGCTCTCCCCCAGCTCCCGTCTGAGCAGTCATCTCAGCTGAATGTTGGGGCTCTCATTGTCGATATCACTCAAATGCAAATAATCTCAATTCACTCTTGCCCTGTACAAAGATAAACTCTAATGGTCCAAAAAGCTTCATTCCGTAGCTCGTGGCATCTGAAATAAATTGAATCTCTTCTGTCAGACTAATTTAATGTTTTTTTTAAATATTCGGTGTCATTTATTTTAAGTCAAATGAAATCTAGTAGATAGAGGAAGGGGCAGGAGAAGGGCAGCTCGAAATTTAAAAAAAAAAAAAAAGAAGAAGAAGAAGAAGAAGAAGAAGAAGAAGAAGAAGAAGAAGAAGAAGAAAAACCGGGAAAGAGGAAAGTGTTTTAAGCTTCTAGTAAACATTGTTTAGCAAAAGAATACTAGGAAAGTTGCCCCTTTCCCAAAGAGGGATGGAACTGTAATTGTTGCCTTTAGCTGAGAGCTCAGATAAACCGCTGGGACGCATTCTAAAGTGACCCATCACTGCATTCATCTCCTCTTGAACTTTCGGTGAACCTGAGATTAAACAGGGGTGAGCAGCTAAGCAGTTTGTTGTTAGCAGCCTTTTCAACAACCCTTTCAGACTGAGTAAATATTGATCGGTTTGAATCTGATTGCCCCAGAGGAAAACACCACCGCATCTGAATAGCCCCCAAAAGTAAACTTTCAAAGGTGAAGCCCAGAGCAGACTGCAGAACCACAGCCAGACCTCCCCTCACCCTAGCATGGGGACACCCTGAATTTTGGGATTGCTTTGGATGAATGTAGAGGAAGTGAGGGGAAAGCATTTGGAAACTGGAACTGTCAATTAATCCTGTGTCTCTAATTGAGACCCTTGTTTCCTTTTTAAATTTATCAATAAAACGTTTTCTGTTTTTCCTCTTTATATCCTTTCAGTTACCATTGCTGTCATTTTTCAAGGAGCTAACTGTGTTCCTCAGAGACCAAAACAGAAAAAGAGAAACCTTGAAATAGGATGTGTTAAGCGCCTTTGATTTAATCGATTAGGACAGCTAAAAAGATACAAATGTTTTCCTTTTGAAAGGTATATTAATGTTTCCTAAATGCATTGCTTGTTAACTGATTTATTCCACGACCTAGAGAAGGCTGGGGATGTTTAGGCATAATTTATCGGTCTCCTTGCTCTCAACTACATTAAAACCAGCACCTTGAAGATTGGAATCTCCGGGATTCCAGCGGGTCGGGCCCTGCTTTTAGATATTGAAATCAAGGCAGTGGCATGCATGCAAATGACACTTTAGCACATTAAAGTATTTGGAAGCCAGCCATCTGTTTTGCTGTGTGGCCTTACACTAATAAACAAAAGATACAGTATAAGGCCAGGCGGGAAATGAAAGAAAGGGTTGGCCGTCTTTGAAGTTCTCCTCCATCCACTAGAGTCTTTTAGAGGCAACCTCAGACCCCAGCAGCCGAGGGGAGGGCACCCGCGCCCTTGATATGGCCGCAGCCAGCGCGCCTGTGAAGTCCAGGCTTGCCTCCTTTAACAGGGAAGTGCAGGAACCCTCACGCGGGCTCCAGCAGGCCTGCCAATTCCAAGTTTTTGCAGGGTTTTCTCCCCCAGCCCATCCCTTCTAACACACCCTTTGAAGAGGAAGGAAGTCATATGTCTATATCTGTTTGTAATGCTGTAAATTTTCTGCACTGCCCTTGGAACTAAATGAAAGCTTCCAAAAATGTGTGAAAGTAAAGGGTAAGTGGTAAGAGGTCTGGGAGGAGAGCCACTTTGAACTCTGTCACTTGCTGACTCCCTCTGAGAGTAGACACTTGCCTGGGTCAGAAAGGACTTGGGTATTCAGAAAGGGCTTCGGGGAGGCTTCCACAAGTTCACCAGGAAGAACCTGTTGAGCCCAGAGGAGAAAATGAGAACTTTTCTTTCTGGGTTATGTGACATGAACTTAAAACTGAGAGCGTATTACAGCCATGATGGCTAAGAAGTCAGTCTGAAGGCTATGAGATGGCCAACCCAGGGATGAGAGTGAGGACAGGAAGAATGGGGGAAGGGATGCAAGGTCTGTTACTGAAAACAGACCACACTCGATCTAGAGGGTGGAATATATTAGAAGAACGCCTGACAATCCGAAAGGGGGTGGGGGGTCCATCCTCACAACAGCTTTATACTGGAGCTAATTAAATGTGAATCTCTTAGCTCTTGGTTCACTGATGTGAGGAAAGACTGACTGAAGACAGGTTCAGCTTGAAGGGGGTTCTGTTTATATATATGTCATCATTCAGTTGGAGGTGAAAAGGTTAGCACTTGACCCAGGAAGTATCCATGTTTGTTTCAAAAATAGATCTGCTTTATAAATTTCTCCACCATTCCTTTTTTTTCTTTCCAATATGAACTTTGATTATAATAAAGGAGCTGTTGTTATTTTAAAGAGAGGCTGTTAGATAGACTCTCCTTAGGTAAAATTACACTCACAGGGAATGCTGCAGCTACATGATAATGGAAAACATTCACTTTTTATTCAAGAAAAGACCCACCTCTTTGAAAACACACACCACCCTTCTCCCCTTTCCCACATGACATCAGCCAGCTTGGTGAGATTCAATAAACTGTAGCCCAGCCAAATACACAGATGCTTCAGCATACCTGAAACTTGAATACATTTATTACAGACTTCTTCAGACCCGTAAATTCTGCTCTGGATCACATCACTCCAGGATCTCAGAGCTGTTCATGATTGTACAGGAAATGGGGACTATCATAGGTTCACAAAGGGGAACTGATAGAACTCAGTGTGGTACTCCAGGGACATCAAAACCATTGTGCGACATGCAAAAGACTATTCACGAATCACACAAAATATACATTCATTGTGCCAGCCATCACATCAACAACTGAGCTGAAAATACATCACATCCCGCTAAGATAACTGTGGAAGAAGTTGGTTTGAATAATACCTTTAGGTTCCAAATTATTCAGCACACATTCTAAATGGAGGGTGACCAGAGAAGCAGGAAGAAAGGAGCAGGTTGGGGGACGTTTAACACAGGAAGCCAGATTTCTGAAGCTTGTGCTCTGTTGGCCTTCTTAACATACTGAAAGAACAAACTGAGGCTACCCTGGGAGGCATCCGATTGGGTTGGAAGTATCCCATCACCTATAACCACATATAAAATTGTACCAGTTGTGAGAGTTTGCCCACCCTGTCTGTTTTAGTCATCTAATCTAAAACATTTCTAGAAAATCTGTATAAAGATAAATCTCTCAGGACAAAGTATTTACAACCAGCAAACTCACACACAGGAAACTGAATTAAATTAAGGAATGAATGAACTGTGTAAACACACTCCTAGTGCACCTCTTCTTCATAGACTCCTGAACTCTCTCTATATATCCTACTTTTAAGGGCAAGGTAGGGAAGAACTGTGAATACGCAGTTAGATAAAAAGAAGCGAGGCCTCTCTCTGGCATGTTTCTGCTGGCAAAAGGGAATTATTTTCCAAAGGGCAACTGAAAGGAGCAAGGTCTGTGAAGACCTCCTCCAAGTAGGGAGAGATGTCAGCAGCCCACACGAACTGATGTGGGCACCCAATCTGGATGTCTCCCGTCCAGAATTCCCTGGAAACCCATTGTCCTGGCCAGGAGCTCTCCAGATAGGATCAGAAAGGAAGAGAGGGACTGTAAATGGAAAGCGAGATAAGCTAAGAATGTGCTTTAGGGGAAAAGCCCTGGTCCAAGAAGGAGGCTGGGCTGCGGGGGCCGGGGCGGCCTCAGTGAGAGGTAGGCAGAGTGTCGGAGGTAGAAGACCCCGGGGAAGGAACGCAGGGCGAGGAACTGGACTTCTCGGAGGATTCCTCTGCCTTCTCTTCGCTTCCCGGGGGAGTGGCTGGAGAGATGGGCAGGAGCCCCTCCTTCTCACGTTTCTTCTGCTTCATCCGGCGGTTCTGGAACCAGATCTTCACCTGGGTCTCATTGAGCTGCAGGGACGCGGCGATCTCCACCCTGCGCGCGCGCGTCAGGTACTTGTTGAAGTGGAACTCCTTCTCCAGCTCCGTGAGCTGCTTGGTGGTGAAGTTGGTGCGCACCGAGTTGGGCTGACCCACGTAGCCGTACTCGCCAACTTTCCCTGGGGTAGCGTAAGGAGCCAAGAGAAGAAAAGGTTAAAAAATGTTAAAAATCGATGAGACCCCCTCCCCCCCCACACACTCTTCAGAGCAACCTTCAGGTAAAGGATAAAATCAAGAACTTCTCAAGCGGGTTGGGGAGGGTGAGCAATGGGGCATTAAGCTGAAGTCAAGCATTAGCGTGGTCAGGCTGGTGATTAATGGAGCCTGGAGATATTAACAGGACGCCTCCAACACCAACACCCAGCCACACACACACACACACACACACACACACTCTTCCTATTTTCAGAACATTTAGACCCTAGCCCCTTTGTAAACACAGAGACTGCTGAGCCCCGACACACCTGGGCAGCGTCCCCATGCCCTACAACACTAGTTGGAAGCAAGAACCCCTTTTTCGAAAAATCATTCTTAATTTTCCTTGGAAACCAAGCACACCAACTCCTTCCAGATTCATCAAGGCGCGTCCACTGGCCGGCAGAACTGACCTGTTTTGGGAGGGTTTCTTTTGACTTTCATCCAGTCAAAGGTCTGTGCTGGAGAAGACGTTTCCAAAGCGGGGGAGCGACAGGCTTCTTGGTGGCTGGCGTGGAGAGGGGACAGGGGATTATTATACGTGGCCAGGGCCAGGCTCTGGTGCTCTTGTCCGTATGAGTGGTGAATGTACTGAGGCGAGCCCACCGTGCCCCCGGCATAACCCTGGTGGTGGTGGTGATGCTGAACCATGGGAGATGAGAGGTTTCCAGAGTAAACAGCGGGAGCGCACGGGGGGTACCCACCACTTACGTCTGCTTCCTGATTTAACCCGTAGGGACTGTAAGGCGCACCGAAGTTCTGCGCACCGTAGCTTGGACCACAACTCGAGTGGGAGTAAGACACCCCCAGGTTCCCAGAAGTCTGGTAAGTGGCCGGCTGAGGATGGTGGTGGTGATGGTGGTGGTGGTGGTGGTGGTGGGGCGAGCTGATCTGCACCCCCCTACCCACTAGGAACCGGTCGTCGCCGCCGCAGCTGTTGGCACTGACTGCGCACGACTGGAAAGTTGTAATCCCATGGTCCGAGGAGTAGGTTCGCGCAGAGCAGGTCCCCGAGTCGCCACTGCTAAGGATGGGGTATTCCAGGAAAGAGCTCATCCTTGCATTGTCCATCTGTCACTGAGTGACCGGGTCCTGGGAAGCCCTGGGTGACCGTGCCAACTTTCTCACTTCCTCCATGAGGCCGAAGAAGAAAAATGATATGAATGTACAGTGCGCAAGAGGGGGGGCGCGAGGGCGGAGGGCGCCAGGGGAGGCGCACGTGACTGGGCCAGCCAATGGCTGAGCCTCCTGCGAAAGTTTGCCGGCTCCGGCGGTGATGGATCACCGTTTCAGTGGCATTTAAGTCCCCGGCGCTCCTCCGTCTAGGTGACGCGCAGTCGCCCCCCCAGGCAGCTCAGGAGGCGGCAGAAGCTGCGGCGGCTGCAACTGCAGCTTCACAGCCCTGGGGCGAAGGGGAGCGGAGGCTGCCTTCTGCGCGCGCCCGAGTCCGCGCGCCCTCCCCCTCCGGGAGGTGGGGGCTGGGAGGCACCCCCGCCCCCCGCCCCCTCCCAGCATCGTCGGGAAGAGGAACTGGCAAGAGGTGAGAAGGGAAGAGGGCTCCCGGCTCTCCTGGGGCGGGAATCAGTGGGCTGGAGCTCGCTGGGTGGCCGCAAGTGCGGCAGAGCCCCCGAGCGTACAGAGCCGGAAGGGTGGGAATCCGGCGACCAAACGCCCCCGGCGCCCGGGGCGCCTCCGCCGCACTGTCCCTGCGTGAGGCCGTAGGGCTGTGAGGCGCTCAGAAGACGGTGACGCAGGGCGAGGCTGGCCGCTGGCCTTGCCAGCTCCGGACGGCGAAGGAAGGGCGCGGAGGGCTGGCTGGGAGGAACCAGGTGGGCGTGGAGCGCACGAGGGCGAGAAAAGAAACTTCCCTTTTCCACAGAGGGAGTCCGCAGCCCTCTCCCCCCAACCCCGGTTCGCCATTAGCATGGCAATGAGGAGCTCCTGTAATTCGACTCCCGGGGGCGGTTGAGCTCGCCGGAAAAGGCCGGGGGTGTCGGGGCTCTCGGTCGCCCTCCCTCTCCCCTCGCTCTCCGCCCCTTTCTCCTCCCCACTTAGTCTGGCCCAGGGAACCCTCCGGGATCCCCAGACGCTGGGCCGCAGGATTTTGAGGGGTGGGAGGCGGGGGAGAGATGACGCTGGCAGACGTGGCGGGCGCGGGGGCCGGGCCGTGCGCGGCAGGCCATCTGCCGGCGCCTCAACCCAGGAGCCTGCGCGCTTCGGCGCGGGCCTCCAACGCCCGGCCGCAGCTTGCACAAAGTCCGCTCCACGGCCCCCGCCACGTTCCTCTTTTCCCGGAGGGCGCTGTGGGGAAGTGGGAGAGACTCTTCTTCCCACCCCCACCCCCATTCTGCTGCACGTCTGGAATGGGGGCTGGCAGGTGGGAGGGGCGGGGGACAGATGGCTGACGGTGGACGGGGACACTGCTCGCCGCACGGCCACCTCCTCCCACTGGACTGCGTGGTCGCCGTGCGAACCTTCCAGCCTTTCCCTAGAGAGACACGTGCAAAGCCGAGCGTCACCCCAGGCCAGGGGTCCTGTTGTCCATCACCCGCGTCTTTCCCCGAGGCTGACGGGGTCGTTAATTGCTGTTTACTACTCGGTTTCATGTCAACCCTGGGCTTGTAGAGAGAAAAGGCCAGAGACCGAGCCCTGACGCATTCTTAAGTAGGAGAAATCCAGAGAGCATCTGAACCCGTCAGCAGCCAGTGCTGCGTAGATTTTGCTCTGGCCATGTGTACAACGTCGGAACCTGTCGTGAGGCCTGGACGTGAGCTTGGGGTTCCCATTCCGCTCCAGCCTTCCCCCACTCCGCTACAACAGGAAGCTTCGCTCGAGGCAGGCGCGGTTCTTGTGTGTTAGGCACCCTTCCAGGATCCTCTGTTCTGCTCGCTCGGAGACGTCCCCCCATTCTGTCCCCGCAGAGGGGGGGGACACCCTTGCAGCCCTTTCGTTGGATTCCCTCAGTAGCAAGAAGATATTTCCCCCACACATTTCCTTCTGGAATGGTATTTTTCTGTGACCTCTGACCCCTCCCCAAGCGTGGTGAAGAGGGAGCAGGGGCAGAAGTCACCCCTGCCCCCAAATCCTGCTTCTGGGGAAGGCGAAAGGCAAGGCGGCCCTCCTGGAGGCGGCTTCCTGGAGCGCGCCAGACCTCCAGCGTTGGGGAGAGCCCGGGCTGCTGTGGGGGAAGGGACCAAGGGTGGGGGTATCGTGCTAGTGGTGCGGGAGATCTGCTGTCCCGGCCGAGGCTCCTCGGTACGTTCTCCCACCACCACCACCACCCTTGCCTCCTCCCGGTACCTTTGTGCGCAGCCTCCGCCCGGGTTTGCTCCGCTCTCCCGGCCGCAGGACGCCGGCCACAAAGCTGCCCCCGGCCGCAGCCGCCTCGCCTGCTCTGCTGGCTCGCCGCCTCCGCGCTGCTCCCCCTCCCTTTCTAGTCCCCTCTCCTGGCCTCATTTCGGGGGGCAGTCTGGGTGGGTGTTTTTTTTCTTGGGATCACAAACTTGCAGCCGCACACAGGCCAGGCCGGCGGCTGTCCCGCCTCCTCGCGCTGCGCCGCGCTCCTGGCGGGCCGGGCACTCGCGGCCGGGCGGGCTCCGCCTCGGCGGAGCTGCTCACAAAGGCTGCACCCCCTGCTCCCGAGCCTGTAGACTTCTGTGCCCCGGTTCCTTACCCACTCCCCTACTGCCGAGAAGTCCTGGGGGCCATTTCGCCCTAAGTAGGAGACCCTTGGTCTTCTGGGCAAGTGAGCCGCGATTCGAGCTAACGTCTCTTTAAACGCCCCGAGAGTGGGGGGCAGGACGGGGCTGGCCACGATTAAAATGCCCTTTCTGCAAGCGGCCGGCTCGGCTCCGAACGCCTCTTCCCAGGGCTCTGCCCCTGGAAAAGGACGGAGCGAGGAGCAGACCAAACGCCGCCGAGGCCGCGCGCAGTTCACGGTATCGGCGGCTCAGCCAAGCTGTTGTTTTAAAAGAGCAATAAAAATGAATTATGACTAAACGCCTTCTAACTTAATGCTTTCGGACGGGGATCCCCAGCAAATACGTAAGAGGATTTTTATTTGTGCATGTGTTCCTGCAATTGATCTCTTTGATGACATTCTCATTCATAGAAAGCGTTTGATTTATGAGCGTGGGACGAATCGCATCCAGGAGCGGCGCAGCCCTGGCTGCGGCTGGGACGCCTTGCTCGGCGCGGAGCCTGGGGCCCAAAAGCGGCCGCAGTCCCCACACGCCTGAGCTGCTGCCGGGATTCAGGGGGTGAAGGGGTGAGGGAAGGCAGAGAGCAGAAAGGTCAGGGTTTCATTGCAACTCCCAAGCCATTGCTGTTAAGAGCTGGGTCCTTAAATCAACCCGCCGCACACACGTGTTGCATACATGCTGCGTTTTCTCAAGGTAAGTAGCCATCAGAACAGAGCTCTCGGGGAAAAATAAACCTGGGGAGACGTAAAAACGGGGGGGGGGAAAAGCCAGAGCAACCCAGTAACACACCCTATATCACATTTTATTGGTATTTCATATAAAGTGCTTTTCTCTCTAGAATCTGGGTTAATTTATAACCTAGGGTGCAGAAACTCTACTTTAAATCTCAACTTGCTAACTGACTTCAAAGCCTTAATGATCCATTATTAGCAATGTAAACAGATTTAAGAATGAAATATTGATTTTTCTGGCCACGGGGAAAAAAAACTGTAGAATGACTGAACCAGAGGACTGGAAAGAACCCTTTTCTGGAGTGAATTCTGCAGCTGGTAACCATTGTTTTGTTTTATTGTTTTTCTTTATCTTTTAGGTCTGTGTTGCCTGAACCCATCAACAGCTGGGAGATTAATCAGCCACGCTGAAAATGTGCGGGGGCGTTTGGGGGGGGGAGGGCTGGAATGCAGATGTTTGAAACAAATGTGTATTCAATAAATGAATTGTTGATAACTTAGTTATTGGGCTGGAGACTGGTCGCTGGTCAGAGAAACGCCACCACCTTGCTCCTTCCTGGGGCGGCTGGTTCCTCTAGGCACGTTGTTCCTCCACTTTCAGAAGCCTGGGCTAGCCCCAACTCTTAGGCTGCCCAGTCCTGTTTCTAGTACTAATTTAAATCTATGGCTCGAGCCTGTAACTAAAAACCAAATCCATTCCTTTATGTATACACAGAATTTTTTTTTAAAGAAAAAGAAAAGGTCAAAAAACACTTGTCAAAGGCCTACTCATTTTCTGGGTCTCTTTTTTGTTGTCTACTGAAGACTTTGAACATGCCACCTTAATAAATATATTAAAATTGAAAAAAGAAGATGAATTGTGACCAGAATTTTTATTTACCAAGTTAGACTAGAAAAAGAAACTGTTAGGAGCCTTGAGAAAGAGGGGGGGAGGAAAAAATAAGAAAGCTACTTATAGCAAAGGAGAATTTATTCTACCAAAAATACGCATGACAATGCATCCTAATGTAATACAAAAATAAAAAGAAAGTGAAGATACAATTGATGATCACTTTCTTTCAGGCCTCATATATTGCTTTCAGGACATCAGAGTGTTGTTGGATTAGGTTTTAAAAACAAGGAAAACTCCAACATAATCTGTAAGAGATGATGGCTCTGAAACTGGGGCAGGGGAGTCACTAAACAGAAAATCCTCCACATTTAAAGGAGGGAGCGGGTGAGGTCACGGCAGAAAAGAAAAGGGGGGTGGGGGGAATCAACTCCCGGAATGAAAGAAGGCAAAGCCACCTGGTCGCAGGGATTTTTGTTGTGTGCTGCTTTGTTTTTGCTTTAATGTTTTTAGTAGTTCAGATGCTGCAGGTCGATTGTGGTGAGTGTGTCTGTGAAGAAGTCAAAGCTGTCAGGTGAAATATCTACGGGGCTGTCGAGGGAGCCCGGCAAACTGGGCGAGACTGCCTCCGAGAGCTGCAGGCAGGAGTCTGCCGAGAAGACGCTAAAGTCTTGCAAAGAGGGGACGTCCAGGGCCTCGGGACTGTCATTGTTTAGGCCAGCTCCACAGTTCTGGCCCATTGTTGACAAGCAGTTAGGAACAGTGGGTGACTGGTGCTGAAAATGTTTCAGATTTTTCTCATTGCTGGTTAAAGGCGAAACTGGGAAACTTTGGGAATCGCCATTGTGTCCGTTGGGAGCCTGCTGCTGAGAGGGGGCGTTCTGCTGAAAAGTGTAACCTTCCCTCTCCAGAAGGGCCTCCGAGACGCCGAGGGCTTGCTCGAAGAGCGACTTCTCCTCCTCGTCCTCCTCCACTTTCTCCGAGTCCTCGAGGCCTTTAAATTTCCCTTCGCTGTGCTGGTTCTCCTTGCACTGGGTCTGCCGCTTGTGCTTCATCCTGCGGTTCTGAAACCACACCTTGACTTGCCTTTCGGTCAGGTCCAGCAGCGCGGCGATCTCCACCCTCCGCGGCCTGCAGAGGTACTTGTTGAAGTGGAACTCCTTCTCCAGCTCCAAGAGCTGCGTGTTGGTGTAGGCCGTCCTCAGGCGCCGCGAGCCCCCGCCGCTGCCGTCGGCGAGCTCCAGGGATTCTGCGGGAAGGGAAACCAACAGGAGACACGCGCGCGGTTGGAGGTGGCGGGGTCCGAGCGGGGGGACTCGGCTGGAGGATAAACACGGCAGCAGAGATCAGCCGCAACAAAATGGCCGCCCCTGGCTGCAGAGGGGCCATTGTGCTGCCTTTTGCAAAGGAGCCCGGCCCGGAGAGCCCCCCGGCTCCTCCAGCGCCGTGCAGCTCCTGCCTGGAGCTCCCCCCCAACCTCTCCATCCGGGAGCAAACTTTATATTAGCCACAACACAATTTATAATTAATGCATCAGCTGCTTAGCTGAGCAAGAGCCATCTATCACTCTTCATTACTGTCAAAAAGCCAAACTCTAGGACAACTAGACAAGAGGAGGTCAGTTCCAACTCAAATAAATCATCCCACGTTGCACAAGTTAGGGAGCGTCCCCCCCCCCCGCACCCCCCGCCCTAAAAACATATACCCGTCTCACTGTGGCACGCAGGGTCCACGCTGCCTCCGCACAGAGCCTCGCGCCCCTGAGCCCGCAGGGCCGGGGCGGAAGGCAGCCGGGCACCGCTCGCTCGCCCCTCTTGCCCCTTGGCTCACGCTCCCCTCCCCCATAGCCGCCCCCGGGGCTGCCCCGCGGTGGGACCGGCGTCCTGAGGACCCGGGGCCCAGGCTCCGGACTGACCTTTGTGGCTGAGGCAAGCAGGGCCGGTGGCGGCGGCAGCTGCGGCGGCGGCGGGCGGCAGCGCGGTTTTCTTGGCCGCCTTCTTCTCCTTCATCCAGGGGTACTCGGGCGGTTGCAGGGCGCCGCTGGGCACCGGGCTACCGCGGCTGCCCGCGGGGCTCGGCTTGGCGCGGCCGCCAGTGCCGTGGCGAGGGTGACTGCCCGGGTTCAGGCTGGGAATAGTCTGCTCAAAAGGAGGAGGAATCAGTGTCGAGTGTGAAAGCGTCGAGGTCTTGATTGATGAACTTTGAAATGTATCAGCGACAGGGGGAAAAGATGTCAGGCACTCAGCGAGCGACGGCTGGCTATTGATAAAACCAATCTCTCGCTCAAATTCGTAATTCATGGCCTTCTCCTTGGAGCCCCCTCGGAGTAAAAGTTCTCTCTTTTGGAGGGGCTTTGGGGGGGCGAGGCCCAGGAAAAAGGCGAGCGCGGAGGGAAAAAAAAATCTACCATAGACGATCGCTGCTGGGGTGTTTTTTTTCTAATTCACTGATTACAGCCGTATGGGGACCGCGCTACTATTAAACTATTGAATTCATGGAGACAAGGTTGAAATTGGACCGAATTGGCTGTCACATGATTGCTTCTGCCCAATGACAATTTGGGCTTTAATCAAAAGAAGCCACTGTCTGTTTGATTGATCCAAAAAAGTCGGGAAGGAACGCCTCATTGGGGGCCAGCATCGCTTTCTTGACACTTTTTTCCGGGCAAAAATACAGATACGCGGGTGTGGGTGGGGATGCCCAGGCGTGCGTGGGGGCCAGGGTGCCCGCCCGCCTCCTGAGCGGCAGAGCCCTGCGGTGTGCGCCCGCGAGCGCGTGCGGGTGTGAGTGTGCGCCAGTGTGCGCTCCGCGCCGCTCCCGCCGCCGGCCGCCCTCGGCCTCCCCCGCACACTCCGCGCATTGTTTAGGACTGTCGGGAAGACGCCTCGCACCTCACAAATCATTTAAGCACCTCAGTCTGACGCCTGCAGTCATTAACAAAGTAATCCATTAATCTTCAAAGTTTTGACACCGGAGAGCCCCCGCATCCCAGCCACATAAGTTCTACTAGAGCTGAAGGAAGAAGCAGAGGGGCAGAGGCGAGGAGAGAGGAAGATGGAGACAGAGATGCAGATAGAGAGATGGAGAGAGGGAGAGAGAACGGGAAAGAAGACTGGGGAGGGGGCGACCCCCTTTATTCCCCCTCCCCCCCACACTTTTCCTAAAGCCAGTTCCTGGATCTCAAAACTGATTTCCGTCTCTGATATCCGTCCTCTCTGCCTTAACCTCTTTCCCTCTTTTTTCCTTTTCCGCGCCTTCCCCCTCCCTCTCTCTCCTGTCCGCCTCTCTTTCCCCCCGCAGCCCTTCGCCCCCCTCCCACTACCCAGCCTGGAGTCTGCGCCCCCCGGCCCATTGTTAGCCGGCTTTTCCACGGCGGCTTTGCATCTGGCTCCGGCGGGAAGCGGAAAACGGGAGGCGGCTCTCGAAGCTTCCCGACCTTCCTGCGCCATCAACTTCTCAGGAGTGGCTGGAGAAAGATAGATGCATGTGCCAAGAGAGACAACAGCCCCAGGTCCATGTGTCCAAATCCCTGTAGCCAGGGCGGCGACCAGCCAGAGAAATGCCGCCCCGAGCAGGCGCGTGCGGCTCCTGGCACCCTGGGTTTCATACCCGCAGGGCTCGGGTGCGGTGAGTATTTCCGATTTCCAGGAAGTCTGTTGGAAGTTAGTAGCAGGGAGGTAGAAGGCGCTTCTCTCTCTCTCTCTCTCTCTCTCTCTCTCTCTCTCCTCCTCCTCCTACCCTTCTTCTCCTTGTCCTTGTCGCTGGGGCTGGGGGGCTGGTTGGTTCAGATGCAGCCTGAGTTGCCTCCCACATCTTCCTGCGCCCTGAGCACCAGGGATGTTGGCACCCGCGTTGGGAAGGAAGACCGCGGGGGAGAAAGAGGGCGACCCAAGGAGGAAGCATAGATTCTCCTCCTCCGTTCTCTCTCTCTCTCTCTCTCTCTCTCTTTTTTTTTCCGATTCTGAGACTTGAGACTGAGTGCATCTTGGACCATTCTGCAGGGTTCAAAAAATAACATCTTTAGGTACCAAACAATAACTTTTCAAAAGCCCACTAAGCCTGAAAGAGGGAAGCAGGGAGAGAGAGAGAGAGAGAGAGATGTGAAGGTAGCTTTTCCCCCCCAAACCCTGAGGATGGTGATTCGCTTTTGCTTCCTTTGAAATGGACCAAGTGACCAGACTCCCCAAGGCCGGCAGGCATCAGAGGCAGGAAAATAAATCATTCTGATGGCCAAGGAGAGAGAGGTTGGCGGGGGAGAAAACTCTAGCAGAAAACAAGAAAGGCCAAGCAAGGAGCAAGGGCAGGACTCCATCTCTGAGGGCCGCATCAAAGGAGGTTTGGGTTGGGAATCAGCTATAAAGTGGTCTCCATCGCGGACCAGAGCATTGCTCTGCAGATAGAGATGCTATTTTGGAAAATGCGAGTTTTTTTTTTTTTTCCCAGTTTTCTTGCTTTTATTCCAAACAAAGCTCTGGAGGAAGTCTGGGCGCGATCAATCTTGCTCACCAAATGCCTTGACAGCTTCTGGCCCTTAAGAACACATTTCAGCTTCCAGCTCTTTCCAAGATCAAATGTGGCCGGGCAAAGAGGAGAACAGGAAACGCAAGTAAACAAGGAAAACTAGTCTTTTTAAGGATATTTTTTGGCAGTGGAAAGGGTTACAGGGCTGCTTTCAGGCAAGGTGCGTTACAGATTCTGGTATGGCGGCTTTGGGCTTTGAGCATTTGCTTTAAGCAGAAAATCTTGCGGGGTACAGGGGAGGGGGTGCAGGAAAGGAGCAGCGCTGCTCCCCAGCGGAGGCTTTGTCGGGCGCTGCGTGGGCGAGAGCCTTCTGCTTGCTTCAGCCGCCTTAATTCAAATACCATCTGGAAGAAAACCCTTTTCTTTGACCACTCGACACTGAAATCTTCCCCAAACCTATTACTTTAACTCAGGAGCTATTTTAATAAGGATTTATTTTTAATATCTAGGAAGCTGGGGATGCGATCGATATTTTTCCTTTGAAAGCCAAAATGAATGTCTTGACTGGCAAGATATGGGAAATCATATTAGGATCTCATTTAAAAATCTCTGCCCTGAGGGAAGAAGGAAGCCTCCAGACCCTTCTTCCCTCAGCTGAAGAGTAGCTTTTTAGAAACGAGTGCAAATAGGGAAAGATTTTCATCCTTGGGAGGCTCTCTCTCGCTCGCTCGCTCTCTCTCTCTCTCCCTCCCCTCCCCCAGGGGGCATTGTTCCTTATTTTCCCAGGTAATTTTATACACATCTCTAAAATAACCACTTAAAAGAAGACTCCTGTATCTGCTCAGCGGGAACAACCAAAAGGTGGAAGCGCCAGCCCCTTACAAAGACTGGTGTCCCAGCCTCTGCATTTCTGAGGTGCGCACCATATTTCCGCAGGGAGATGGGGGTGGGGTGGGGGCAAACCTGTTTTTTTCCGCAGCTCAGAGTCTTTTTTCAAAGAAAAAATATCTATCGGGAGCCCAGGACAGAAGTGAAGGAGGCACTTCTGGCTGTGAATCCTCAGCGCTCTACAGCCGCCTGGCTTTGGACCCTCTCAACTTTTTTTTTTTCCTCTTAAAAACGTGAGGTGTTCCCTAAAAGCAACTCGCTAGGACCTAGCAGGTACCCAGAAATGGCACCAGAGCCTGCTTCTAAGGATTATCTGGAGGAGTTCTCAGGAGGAACAGAGGCCATGATGATGGATATTTTGGATTGCAAACAAAATGGCGACATTTTCCACTTCTGCCTCTGAAAGATAGAACACAGGGAGCTTGGGGCTTCGATTCTCACATCAGATGCCGGCGGGTCTTCATTTTCACCTCCTAAGGGGGGAGGGGGGGAAGGGATGCAACTCTGAGGTTTGCATTTTCTGGATTTGGTTCCTTCACCGAGCAAATCTTTAATCTGAAGATGAAAATATTTCCCTTTATTGTGCCTGCCTTTGTCCCTGCCAACCAGGCGGTAGGCAGCCCTATCTTAAATCCAGGAGTGAAATGTACTATTTAGCTCCTATAGCATCAAATGAAAGAAGTACTTCTACAATTGCATTTTTATTAGAAAGACACCAATCTCCTTTTCTCTCTCCCTCCCCCTGGGGTCATAAAAAAGAAAGCTGAGAGGGAAGGAGAGAAAATAAATCCAGAGAATGCCAAACACTAAATTCCGAGAGGAAACTGACGCTGGGGTTCAGGCGGTCCAGGGAAGGGCTCGGGAGGAGTCCCGAGCTCAGCCCTCCTTCTCCGGAAGACCGGGGTGCGCCTCGCGCTCTGTGGAACGGCTGGGCTCGGCGCCGCCACCGCAGCAGCCAGGCTCCCCGCCCTGCGTGAACGCACCGCCAAGTCCGCGAAGGAGACCGGGAGGCCGAACGCCGCGGCAAAGCACTGGGCATCCTCCGCGGGTCGGGTCGTGGGCGGGACCGCTGGGACCCGGGGCAGGCTACGGAGAGGAGGGGCGCCCCGCGTTACCCCAAGGCGGGGCCCCGGGGCACCTGTGCGCCCCCCGCCGCGCCTCGGCCTGGCTGCCTTTGTTTCTCGCGCACACGTCGCGCCGCAGCCCCTGCGCCCTCCGCCTGCCTCCGCGGCAGCTGGGAATCAGGCAGCCCAGCGGGCCGGCTGCGCCGCGTTGCCAGAGCTGCCGCCTCCGCGAGCGCCGGCCGCCTGCACCAGAACCCGCCGGGCTTGCCGGCGCGGCGCCTGGCCGAGCCCCACGCGAGCGCCGGAGGTGCCGCGGCCTACTCCGCCCGCTCGCTTGGCTGGAGTTCCTCGCAGAGCCCCATCTTCAGCCAAAGAACTCCTTCTGAACGCAAGATATTATTCAGAATAAAAACTTTATTTTTTTTTGTTTTGTTTCTCAGAATGTGAGCAGCAAGGAATGTAGAACTCTCCAAACAAATCTAGCATTTTTCGCGTTTACAGGCAATTTTTTTTTTCAGTTTTGCCGGATGTTACAAACCTCAATCGCTGTTGTCGAAAGCTGGATCTTCTCTGGTTTTATTGCATCATTACCATTTTTATAAAGGAATTATATTTCCCTTTCAAATAAAAAAATTTCTATGTACGCCAATGCACTATTGAACAAAAGGCCCAAGAAACCTTCTGAACAATCAGGGTACAGAATTTCTTTAATATAAATACGAACGGATGGGGATAAATAATATTTAAAACTTAGATTATTCAATGCTTGCAAAAAAAATATAAATAAATCTGACTGTTCACCAGCATACACACACGGAAAGACGTACACTTAGTCATCCTTGCACAGGGAGTCCCTGTTTCAAAGCGCCTTTGATTTTTTTCTCGCTCTTTACAAGAAGTGCAATTAAAAAAAAAACCTAAAAATAAAAAAAAATAATCGCTTCCCCTCGGGAGCCATAATGTACGAACAAATTCACATTGAAAACTCGACTAGAAAATTTGTTCATATACCCTGTTTCTGGTCAAAGAGTGGAGAAGGTAGAGGGTGCAGGGCCAGCGGCCGAGCGAAGGGCGGGAAGAGAGAAATATCGCTACTGATACTGACAGCCATTCCAGCAACCAAGATTGCTACGTCACATAAACTATAAAAACGCGATACCAAAGAAAACAAAACGGGGGAAGGGAGCGGGGGGGGGGGGTTGCAGAGGAGAGAGGAGGGGCAGGGAAAACCTTACGAAATAAAACAGCAAGTAAAGAAGAAAGGGGGAGGGGGCTCTCCTGGCGCGCAGCCCCGAGCCCACCATCACAGGTGGGTGAGCTTGGGCGCTTCCTGAATTCTTCCCTGAGAAGGATGGTGGGCGGTAAGGTCCGTGTAGGTGGGGTGCGGCTCCCCTGGCCCTGGCCCGTGGTGGTGGCCGCTTCCTAGCGGCCCGGCGCCCCCATAGTCCATGGCGGCCGAGGCGGCGTGGGGGAGGTGAGTTAGGCCAAAGAGGGCCGGCCCGGAGTTGCTCATGGGCTCCACATAGCTGCCCCCCACGAAGACGGGGCTTCCCTGTAAGTGTGGGGTCCCATAGCTACCGTTGCCCTGCAGGCCATGAGCGTGCGGGTCGTAGTCGGGGGTGCCCCCTGTGCCCGCGCCCGCCGCCGCATAGCGCTTCTGCGGGGGCGGCGGGGGCGCGCAGCTGGGTAGGGGCGCGGGGTACGAGGCGGGGGGCAGCCCGTAGGCGCCTTGTTGGGGCTTGGAGAAGGGCGGGGGCGACTGGGGCTCATACGGGACGCTGTTAACCAGCGAATGCATAGAGTTCAGATAGCCGCCCGCGCCAGGGGGCACAGGGCTGCGACTTGGGGACTGTCCGCCCGACGACGTGAGCATGCCCTTGCCCTTCTGGTCCTTCTTGTACTTCATGCGGCGGTTCTGGAACCAGATCTTGATCTGGCGCTCGGTGAGGTTCAGCAGGTTGGCCATCTCCACGCGGCGCGGCCGGCACAGGTAGCGGTTGAAGTGGAACTCCTTCTCCAGCTCCACCAGCTGCGCGCTTGTGTAGGCCGTGCGCGCGCGCTTGGACGAAGCCTGCCCTGGCGGGCTCTTGTCCCCAGCGCAACTCTCCCCTGCCAGGACAGAGAGAGGAAGAACGGCGTCAGGGGCTGCCCGCGGCCCCGCCCCGCTGCTGACCCAGACGGGCCCCTCCTTCCTGCAGGGCCTAAAGGAACCTCCATCTGTCAGGGCGCAGAGAGCAGCGAGCCAGGTGCTGCCGCCTCTCCAGGTGGGGGACCGGCCCTTCACTCAGCCAAGGAGCACATCGCCAGCCTCTCTAAGGGAGCAAGGACAGACAAGCAGAAGCCCCCGCTTCCTTTCTGGAGCTGTTCACCTTTCCTTATTCCCTGCTCCTTTTGGCCCACTGAAAAACAAGCTCCCTGTGGGCAGGCCTCACACCCTCTTCCCCCTCACAAGAACTGAACTGCAGGGCTCCTAATGCTCACACTCAAACCTCCCTTCCCTGCCTCATTGAATGCCCCAGGCGGAAGCTGCAACTGGCCACTTAATTATCGCTGCCCAGAGATGGGCATCGTGGAAACCCCAGACTAGAAGCTCTTCTCTGCCCCAAGAAAGAGATCCCATAGAAGGTGTCCATTTCCAGGGGGGAAGCCCAGGCCCCCTTGATGAGTCCTAGTCATTAAGGCTCACCAGCCTGCTCTTGCTTTGCCCACCAACTGTGTGGCCTCCTCTCCTCCCTGGCCCCTAAATATTGGCTCTGGAGGTCCCAGATGCTCAGGCTCAGAGCACAGCCCGGGCAAGTGCAGAAGGCAAGGGCGAAGGTATCCAAGAAGCTAGGAAGCCCGAGACCTGGGGCCTTTCCTCCACTGGAGTCTGGTTCCAGGAGGCCCATGTGGTTCCCATTAGGATGACAAGTCTGCATCCCCTCCCCCCAGGAGATCCCTGGCTGCCTTCATTATACTAAGTCAGAGCAGCTCCCCCACCACCACCACCACTAAGAGGTAAGGCAGCCACTCCATCTGCTGGAGCAAAAACTGGCTCTGATTATGGGCATGGCATTGATTCTGGCTTGGACAGTGCTGAGGCCTGCTTTTATTCTGCCACATTCCGGCATGGGGAAGATGTCACCGTTTCATCAGAATGGTGGAGCTGTGCTTGGATATGCCTGGAGGCCCAACGCCAGGACTGGATCAAGAAGGGACTGCAACTTCACGAAGCTCCACTCCGCCTTGGGAAGGTCCAGAGAGAAACTCCCATTAGGTTTCTTTCTGGAGTTCCCCGGCCCACAGAGCCCACTCACCTCCCTGAGTTGCAAAGGTTCTGGAAAACTCTTGGGTTGGGTGGGTAGGAAAACAGTGCCTTGCTCCCAGATAGTGCTAGCTACGGCTGCAAGTGGCTTGGGGCGCTGGGAGCCAGGCCAGAGGACCCTCCTTTACCTGAGCTGGAGCCGCTGGTTTTCTGCTTTGTGTTTTGCCTCGACTCTTTCATCCAGGGGAAGATTTGTTTGGCCACGGTGGGCGAGTTGAGCAGGGGGCTCTTGGCTGCGCTGGCGGGGGCGGGGTTGCTGCTGGCATTCTGAGGGGGGGAGACG